AAGTTAAAAGCTGTTTGACATTTATATAGGCAGTGATTATGCAAAATTTTAAAAATGCCAAAATTTTAAAAATTTTTTAAATGAGATTTTAACAAGAGTTCTATGTTGCTTCAGAGACTGCAAGACCAAGGAAAAGAATTTTTTTTTCTTTTTATTGAGTTTATTGGTACAATCTAGGTATACAATACAGTTACATTCATTACTGGGATCCTGTACCTTTACATGACAGGTCTTGGTTCCCATTTTTCCCCTTCTCCCTGCCCTCCCTTCACCCAATGGAAAGGAATAATTTTGAAAAAAAAAAAAAGGATAATTTTGAAAACTTTCAGAATATGTGAGGAAGTTGGTAAATGTGATTAGGAACTTTTAAAGGTGTGTATCTTTTGAAACCCAGTTTCAAAGAGCATCTGTATGTTTGGACGTGAGTCACTATGTTATAGAATATAACGTAGAGGAACTCGAGAGTCTGAAGGGACTCTCAGAGCTGTTTTTAATAAGTCTAGCTCTATTGAGTTTTTCACAAGTTCCATAAATAAATCTGACTCATCTCAAAGTTTAAGAATCTTTGGTGTTATTCCTCAACACTTTTCTCATTCAGAGCAACTGAGCGGTTTTGACATTTCAATTTCAGTTCAAAGACAGACTTCTAGTGTGGGGCCTAAATTACAAGCCCTTGCTAAATGGCAAAGGGCCTAGGAGACAGTGTCCTGAACCCCTCCCATTGTAGCCACAGCACCAACCTTTGTTCCAGCCCTGGCCTAAGAATGTGTATCACTCTTGTATTGTGAAGTCCAGATCTGAATCTACTTGTAAATTAGAGACTCCAGACATAGAGCCCCAAGTTAATTGACAAACTGTTTGCTCATCTGGAGTGTCTTGGTGACCTTTGAGACATCCTATGGGTGGTACCTGTCACTCATCAATATGTGACTGTTGAGCATGTGACTGCTGACCACCAGCTCAAGTCAGCAGACCTTTGTCCCCTGTCTGGGAGCCCAAAAATGTTAACCCCCTCTTTTACTCCTTATAAGAGGACCTCAGCCCCTGAGCTAGGGGCCTCTCTGAGCCAGCCACTTGGTTCTGAGAGTGCTGTCTGTCCAGACTAATAAAGGTCTTTTACCATCTAGCCTGGTGTGTTCCTTCCTGGGTTTCTCGTTCCTCGATAGCGCTCATGGAGCCTCATTGGGCTTTAGGGCCCAACATTGCAAAGGCCTTTTGGGCTGTTTGCGCTCCGTGGAGTGGAAGTGAGACTTTTAAGTCTTACACTAGGATGAACCAAAGTGATAAAAGCTGACATGAAAACTTTGGGCCTGTATTCTCATATAGTCTCCTGAAGTGGAGTACAGAAACAGCCATTCAGTGGGGATTCCAGTGCGCAGATGGCTATCCGGTGTGTTTCCTACATGCGTCGGCAGCGTGTTGAGGACCAGTTACCCTGAACCAAGATGCTCAGGCACCAGGCAAGTTCTCCATCTACATTCCTTCGGTCAGCAAGTCTGTACTGGACTACTACCAAGGATGTCTGAACGCCAGCTGTTTCATAATTTAAAAAAGAGCTAATCGCTGGAGCTCATTATCACTAATTTTTTTCCTAGGAAAATATTCATGAAAGCTCAAGTTAGAATGTCACCCCACTTCTCTTTATACCATTTTTACCATCTTCCAAAACTTCCTGAAAGAGTCTACTTAGAGACTAGAACTTTTCCATGCTGGACCCAGGCCTGGAGCAAGAAAAAAGAAAGTAAAATGTATGTGCAACGGTCTGTTTGGCCATTTTCAGTTACTCCCTTCCCCAAGCCAGATTCATAAATAAAACCTGCCAAAACACAGAGTCCTCAATAACAAGATGTGACAAATCTTCCATAAAGAATACTTTGTGGGCCAGAGAGTATTTTAAAATATAAATATTTATACATCTTGCCTGAAAAAGATTTTGTTCGAATTTCTAAAACTAACAGAAAGAAAATGTAAGAAGCCTTCCTGTGTGTTAGGAGGGGATTTTACCAAGTGGTTGATCCAAAAATGTGCCAGTGGTGGTGGGATATGAAAACACAGTTCTTACCTTTTTCCAGCACTGGTGTTTATGAGTTTGGCAAGGACAGGGGTGCCAGAGCTGAGATCCTTCACAGAGCATCTGTGACTTCTATTCAGTCATCTTGGTACGAGGACACTGTTTGCAGAATGGGCTGCAGTCTGTGCCTCTTCCCCTGCTGTACAATGTGCCTCTCACAGAGTGACTGCTTCTGTCTAATTGCTGCCTGCAGCTCTGTGGGTCTCCTTCTGCTGCCTCCCAGGCAGGATTTTTACTGTGAATTCATTTCATTCTTTGGCTTTCCCTTCAAAGCTAGAGTTGCAAAGGACAGTAGCTACCGCCAGCTTTTACTCACAGATCAACTCCTAGGTGAAACCAAGTCACTTTCTCTCCTTCCTTTGGTCTCTCCTCCTGAAGTGCTGGTTGGTCCCAGTTCCTGGGACTATTTGGACAGGGACCTTCATGCCCCTCACTGCTTGGTGTTTTCTGCATCCATCTCTTCAGGGTCTTCAGAAAGGCTCCATTTGTGGCCTTGGGGCCAAGTACAGTCAATGCACGCCCTTTCTCCCTGGGAATTGATGTCAGAGACTCAGACCCTCAGGCAGATTCTGTCTTGTTCCTTTTCAGGTGTATTGATTCACCAGTGGCTCCTGAGGTGTGAAGAACATAGGGTGAGGATGCCTTCTTCTCTATCTCAGGCAATGCCAATGCCCTCTAATAATAAAGCAGCAGTTTTATTTAATCATATATATATATATATATAT